GGGGGGGGGGGGGGGTTAATACAATGGTATGGATATAATATGTGCAACTTATGTTACTGATTCAGATTTTAGAAATGTGCAGTTATATGCATGATTGTGGATTCCTAATGTACGAAAATTCTTGTGGTTGATGCAGAACATGCTGTCAAGCAAACCCAAGTGTCAGTGGTATGTTATATTATCCACACTCATTTAGTTGCATGTTTTTTGTGCCGATAGTCACAATACTGCTGCAGTTTCCCCTGGTTTCCGGTTGACAGTTTTACATTATCACTTTTTAAGAAATGCACATCAGTTTTCCATTTGTCTCTTGCTGACTATCTTCTTGCAGATCTGGCCATATGGGTCGAAGTACCCCAAAATAGCTGTATGCGAGCTTGAAACTTTTTTGCCATTTTTACTAGAAGACTTGGCATTAGTAGATGCGATCAGTAGTGGGTCTTTCTTTTTAATAATATCTCCTTTTTCCCCATTACTGCAAGTTTGGGCTTGCAAAACCGCATCAGCAGTGCCCTTGGTTCTCTGGAAGACCTCTTCTTCGTGTAACTTAGTGTTACAAGCAATTCTGTGTGCAAAAATACGCATTTAGACCAACAGATAGTGGTGCAGCCTCCTCTGGCCTTCCTTCACCTTGTTTTGATTGCTCCCTTCTCTGTTGCTGCATTAAATGTTGGGCACCGTTCATCTGAACAGTGTATGTAAAGCTTATTGATAAGCAAATGCAGCAGTTAATTTACTTGGAGATAGAGGGATGTATTATCAACAATTGCTTAGACTCAACATCCCCATCATTGATAAATCCTCGAGTTATGTTTCAGGAAACTTTCCAGTGGAATGGAATCACCAGCAAGAAGAAGGGCCAAAAATGGGGTACAGAAAAGATTTCCTATTCTCGAAGGGATGAGTATAAGGATTTGGACAATGAATATTCAGAAGAGTTGATTACTGAAAAAGAGATACCTGTGANTCTCTCTCTCTCTCTCTCTCTCTCTCTCCTCGTGAGAGGAAAAGGAGAAATAGTTTTCTTGACAAGTGGTTATCACGGATTTGCAGCTACACTGGAAGCAAGCACCTGAAAAAGATTTGCATAGCAATATGACACAGCATGAACGACCAATGCCAAAAAATGATGCAGAGGACAACATCGTTCCAATTGTAATAAGGCCAGGACACATTCGCTTTGAGCCTCTGGAAGATGGTGTGACTCTCTCTCTCTCTCTCTCATGCACACAGACATTAGACTTTTGTCTTATGTGACATTGTTGTTGCCAAAATATTTGCTGCCTTCGAAGCTTTCATTCTTATGATTTGTCATTCCAAGTTTGTAATTTGATATTCACAATTAACAACCTTGATCACTAAAGCCTTTATTTATTACTTGCATTTTATTCTATTGATTCTCCTTCTCTCTCACCCTATATATATACACATGTTGTTTCCATTTGGTTGGGGCCGTGTGTGTTTCTCTGTTTTGTTTGTGTTTTATTTATTTATTTATTTTTTGGGTGGGGGGGGGGGTTAATACAATGGTATGGATATAATATGTGCAACTTATGTTACTGATTCAGATTTTAGAAATGTGCAGTTATATGCATGATTGTGGATTCCTAATGTACGAAAATTCTTGTGGTTGATGCAGAACATGCTGTCAAGCAAACCCAAGTGTCAGTGGTATGTTATATTATCCACACTCATTTAGTTGCATGTTTTTTGTGCCGATAGTCACAATACTGCTGCAGTTTCCCCTGGTTTCCGGTTGACAGTTTTACATTATCACTTTTTAAGAAATGCACGTCAGTTTTCCATTTGTCTCTTGCTGACTATCTTCTTGCAGATCTGGCCATATGGGTCGAAGTACCCCAAAATAGCTGTATGCGAGCTTGAAACTTTTTTGCCATTTTTACTAGAAGACTTGGCATTAGTAGATGCGATCAGTAGTGGGTCTTTCTTTTTAATAATATCTCCTTTTTCCCCATTACTGCAAGTTTGGGCTTGCAAAACCGCATCAGCAGTGCCCTTGGTTCTCTGGAAGACCTCTTCTTCGTGTAACTTAGTGTTACAAGCAATTCTGTGTGCAAAAATACGCATTTAGACCAACAGATAGTGGTGCAGCCTCCTCTGGCCTTCCTTCACCTTGTTTTGATTGCTCCCTTCTCTGTTGCTGCATTAAATGTTGGGCACCGTTCATCTGAACAGTGTATGTAAAGCTTATTGATAAGCAAATGCAGCAGTTAATTTACTTGGAGATAGAGGGATGTATTATCAACAATTGCTTAGACTCAACATCCCCATCATTGATAAATCCTCGAGTTATGTTTCAGGAAACTTTCCAGTGGAATGGAATCACCAGCAAGAAGAAGGGCCAAAAATGGGGTACCGAAAAGATTTCCTATTCTAGAAGGGATGAGTATAAGGATTTGGACAATGAATATTCAGAAGAGTTGATTACTGAGAAAGAGATACCTGTAAATGATGCCATCGACTTTGATAAACTTCCACCCCTTCCTAGCTGGCCTAAGGTTTGCTTTTTTGTTTCTTTTATTTTTATGTTGGCATGCTTCTTGGATATCTTCCGTTGGTTGAGATATACTGGGTGATGGGGTTTGTTTTTCCAAACCTTCCAGTGCCTTACTTCCCTTAGAAAGCTTCATGCAGAACATTTGCTTCAGAAGTTTGATTTATTGGTTCAAGTATCACCAGGCCGTTGGATTTTATTATCCCAGATTGAATCACTAAATTTGCTTCCCATGTATTATCGTATATTTTGTATTGTTTTGCAGGAAGGCGATGTGATTGCATATCGTCTGCTTGAGTTGTCGTCGACCTGGACCCCTGAGCTTTCTTCCTTTCGAGTACAGCTTTATCAGAACTTCAATGATTGTGCAGCTCATCATTATCCATTATATCATGTTGTTTACCATCATTTTTTCCTTAGGTTGGAAAAATATCGTGGTATAATTCTGAATCAAGTAGAACTATGCTGATGCCTGCCCCAGAATATCCAATTTTTTCTGGGAAGTCAGATGAAGACGCAACTGTTCTGCAACAAGATAACTCACTCTATAAAGAAGATGGATCCTTGGAGGTAGTCAAGCTGTCCTACATGAACTCATTTCTTTATTTTTTTTTTTCTTTCTTTTGTCTCGTTCGTCAGAATTTTAATCATCAGCTTCTGCCATGCATTAGCAACTTATGGTCTCCAAGTGGAAGTCAAGCTGCTTCGCTTGTCAATCTTACTTACAAACTAGTGTCATCTGCAGATAGATTTTTCATCACTAGTTGATGTCCGTATTGTCAAGCAAGGCAACTCAGATCTTGCAAAAGCAGCCACTGGTAGGGCTAATGAAGGTCCTTCAGGCAACACAAAAGTTATAGCAAGTGCGGTGCCTAGCAATAATGATGAACAAACACATGCCATGACCCCAGGTACCTACCATTGTTTCATCGTAATGCTTGAAGTAAAATGATGAGTCTGGGAAGGCTCTTATGACAACATACTAATGGGCTCTATCTTGTTCATTATTTGTAGTAAACGGACAAGTAAACATATGGGATCAATTCAGTGAGGCTCTAAATGCCAAGAAGACACAACTATCTCAGGAGAATGGTTGGACCAAGGAGAGTTCTGCAAGGAGTGCTTGGTCATCTAGAGCCTTGAGAGGCAGTGCACTAGGCCCAACAATGTCTCTTCTAAGATCGAAAAATGAGATCTGAGACTGAATATCGGCAAGAATGCTTATGCATATGTTTTTGTTCTATCCCGCGTATTCTATTTATGAATATAGGATAGAAGTAAAGGAACGGAATACTTGAGGATTTGAGTTTTGTACGAAGCCCGATGTCTACCAATCTTCAGTTCCAATATGGAACAAGATTTTATTGCTCACCCACTTTCGACAGATTTTGCTTGTTAATAATATATATGATGTTCAGCCTTGAAATGACACGAATTATCTTGTTGGATTATAGCAGGCCATTTTTGTAATAAGCAGTTCTGAGGTGGGTGGAACCTCGTGTATACGCGAGTATTGCTACAGGAATTTGATGTAATCCGCTTATAGTGGATGCAGATTCAGCAGCATCCATGGTTTTGGCAAGTTGTCGTACATTGACCCTGTTGGTGCATCTTGAACAATCCGTTCGAACGGAGAAAGTGTCCATACCAAATTTAAGTTTTTGGAAAATTTCATACACAATTCAACGAGACTCTCACTATTCTGAAATTTCACTAACACCTCTTGTGAGTTATTGTTTGTTTATGAGCATTGTTTTATAGAATATCTTTTACTATTTTATAGGATAAATTTTATAAATACCNATTTTTGTAATAAGCAGTTCTGAGGTGGGTGGAACCTCGTGTATACGCGAGTATTGCTACAGGAATTTGATGTAATCCGCTTATAGTGGATGCAGATTCAGCAGCATCCATGGTTTTGGCAAGTTGTCGTACATTGACCCTGTTGGTGCATCTTGAACAATCCGTTCGAACGGAGAAAGTGTCCATACCAAATTTAATTTTTGGAAAATTTCACACAATTCAACGAGACTCTCACTATTCTGAAATTTCACTAACATCTCTTGTGAGTTATTGTTTGTTTATGAGCATTGTTTTATAGAATATCTTTTAGTATTTTATAGGATAAATTTTATAAATACCTTTTGTAAATAGATTTAACTTTAACAACACTTCTTTTAAATAGATTTATTTTTAACAGCACTCTCCCGATTTTGAAATTTCATTGAATGCTATTTTAGTTAGTTCTATTATATTAGTCTTTAGGTTCATCAATTTAATATGTAATTTTATCAAATTAATGTCTTTAATTAAATTTAAATTAAATCAACATTCAATCTTATCAAATCAATACAAAATTGATATTTAATTTTATCAAATTAACACTCAATTATATTAATTTAATATATCATTTCATAAAATTAATATTATTTTTTTAATTTAACATTAAATTATTATTTAATTAAAATCAAATTAACATTTAATTTTATTAAATTAAAATTTAATATATTAAAACTAATCAAATTAATGTCATTTTTTTAATTTAACACCAAATTAACATTAAATTTTGTCAAATGAGTGATAATATGATGATTAATATTAAAACAAAGTTATCATATAACGCTTTAAAATGATAAAAATTTATTGGAATAAATTAAAAATGACTATAATTAATCTTATTATTGGTAAAATGTTAAAATTAATTTNTCATTTCATAAAATTAATATTATTTTTTTAATTTAACATTAAATTATTATTTAATTTTATCAAATTAAAATCAAATTAACATTTAATTTTATTAAATTAAAATTTAATATATTAAAACTAATCAAATTAATGTCATTTTTTTTAATTTAACACCAAATTAACATTAAATTTTGTCAAATGAGTGATAATATGATGATTCATATTAAAACAAAATTATCATACAACGCTTTAAAATGATAAAAATTTATTGGGATAAATTAAAAATGACTATAATTAATCTTATTATTGGTAGAATGTTAAAATTAATTTTTTTATTTTTTGTTTGTATGCATTTTTGACCTTATTATGTTGAATGATTTTATTTTGTGTCAAAAATAATTTCAATAGATATAAATATATTAGAAAAAAGAATGATAGAATAGAAGGGTAATATAAGTATTTTAGAAAAAAGAATCACATGACATTAGCATTTTTTATTTGTCAATAATAAATATTCACGATAAGGAGTGTGATTGAAGTAAACATAATGCAGTGAAATTTTAAAATTAAGAGAGGATGTCATTGAATTTAAACCTAACTAGANTTTTGTGTCAAAAATAATTTCAATAGATATAAATATATTAGAAAAAAGAATGATAGTATAGAAGGGTAATATAAGTATTTTAGAAAAAAGAATCACATGACATTAGCATTTTTTATTTGTCAATAATAGATATTCACGATAAGGAGTGTGATTGAAGTAAACATAATGCAGTGAAATTTTAAAATTAAGAGAAGATGTCATTGTATTTAAACCTAACTAGAGGAAATGTGAATAAAATTTTTCCTTAATTTTTCTAACATATTGACTTTGGATTATAGGATGGGCTCCTATCAAGCTTCGTTTTGAGAATGATAGTAAGGAAAGAAGTTGCTTATTAGTGCATATCACCCAAAGTTCACGTCGATAGGTCAATTCATGCTTCGACTTAAGGGCTCAAAAGCAACAAGAGAGAAAAACTCTTCTACCTTATTAGTCAAACCTAAATGTTTTTTACTAATATAATACAAGGTAAGGCCAGGCTTTTTTCGCATATTGGAGTACATCTTTCTCATATCGATTAAGACGAAACTTGAACNATTAGTGCATATCACCCAAAGTTCACGTCGATAGGTCAATTCATGCTTCGACTTAAGGGCTCAAAAGCAACAAGAGAGAAAAACTCTTCTCTTTCAATAAAGCTCGCGTGAGGTGCTCACTTGTTTTGTCTGGGTTCGTCAAGTTGTAGAAGGAGAAATGCTAGTGCACAAAAGGAAGTCGCCTATTAGTGCATCTCACCCAAAGTTCACGTCCATAGGTCAATTCATGCTTCGACACACTCTTGCCTCGTGTTTTCGAGGGGCAAGAATTTTGGGTTTAGAAAGACCAGGTTGGATTTAATTGAATCACATGCATAAACAATAGAAAATTCTCCAACCCTGAATGGAAAAGTTAAGGAACTTATAAAAAATATCATCTTATTTACAAATAGGAAATGCCAGGATTAGAATGAATACTGCTTTAGATTCTTCCCAAATAGAAGCACCTTCGGTGCTGGATGTAGCCAAAACCAAGATGAACAATTAAAACAAAGAAAACTGATTGCAGTTTACTTGTTCTGAAGGGAGATCGATAATAAACTTCTAAATACCTATTAGTATACAGCGGTTTTGTTCTTTGTACGTTGTTCAGCTGGAATGATAAATCAGATTCTCTGCTTTCATCACACAAGCAGAAAAGAAGAACTTGTACTGCCTGGGATGCTAACTCACCGTTGAGTAACTGCAATAGTTCCTTGTCAATGACCCACAAAGCCGGAAAAATCAGAGACAAGGACTTTAGAGAGTTTCCACATCCTTCCATGTCTCAGCTAGTATTGCCTAATGCCTTCTGAAATGAGAAGCACTGGAGATGCTTTAGGAGCTGCTCCGGTTCCTCACCTTCTCTGACTATCTGTTTATTCCGCAGAAATTTACATCAACAATTTAGTCTATCATTTCAAACAGAACCACCAAACAAATATGTTAAGGGGAGAGGCTTTAACAACAATAGGCCAAATAATACTTTTGCATGTTGAGAAATACCAGAAACAGACACAGACAGATGTGAAACTAATTAGCAACATTGTTTGCTTCAACTACAGAGGATAGTTCTGTTTTTTTTTTTTGGGATGTGTTGGGGTTTTTTTTTTTGGGGGAGGGGGAGGGGGAGGAAGGGGGATGATATACAGTGGTACTTCAACATAAACAACCCACTTCATCTTTCTTCATTAGCAAGTACTTGACGACCACAGTTTACATCTATTGCAAAATATTATATGTAGACAAACACATAATCACGATATCTCATTTCAACTTAAACAAAAGAGTCTCCTCCAACTATTCCATCATGCTCAAAATTTAAAATATTTTCACCCACATTACACTCTTGCATCACAGTCAGCACTGCATTCCTCACTCCTTAAAATGATCACCTTATTGAGTTCTTTATAGTTTAAGTGAAAACATGTGTTAAGACTTAAGAACATTGATATCAAAAAACACAATGTATGAAGTTGTGTAATCATTACCTGAACAATGGAATTTGTCTCTAAACCCCTTTGAGCAAGGAAGTTGTGGGCAATTTTTTCCCATTGGACATGACTATCCCTGCATGTGCCATCATTGTTGATCAATTGATTATGACCTTTCTCGCATAACACATCACGCCCCAACCAAACATACAGTACATCAAGATTATTTGTGCCCATACTCACATCGGGCACAAACATAATATAAATAGATCCAGAATCAAGGATGTCAAAGCAATGCCTCTCCACTTTATGCATAGAAGGCCAATGATAAACAACTAGGGAAGCTACTTTTGCGACACTATGGCCCAAATTATTCAATGGATAATGAGAAGTATCATACTCAATTTCATTGTCAAGCCCATTTTGGAATTCATCGCCAACCATGTCAATTTCAGCCTCCAAGACCCGCTCTTCTCTATCCATTTCATAAGAACCTTCTTCATCAAACTGTTTGCATTCAAGATCCCTCATCATTTCGTCCTCCAAGTCAGGCAGAGAAAAGGAACATGATCTTACAAGGTTTGTTGAAACATGAGATGCATCATCTACAGGAGGTAGCATCATTGGTGGGGGAGGATTACTTCCTCTGCGCTCTGCAATGGAGGGCGAAATCCCTTTACATGGCAAACAAGTGTTTGCCACTCCTGAAGCATGATTAGTAGAAAATGTTTCTTCTGATGAAGAAGCAGCTTTTTTGCAATTGACACAGGCACTTTCCCCCAAGGAAGAATTGTTAGCAGAATATAAATCTTTGGATTGCATTCCCGAAGGTGAAGGCTGAGCAGATAAATATGACAAGTCAGACCAGTTAGAAGACGAGGGTGAGAAGTTAAATGAACCGGAGTAATCAGAGGTTGAAGGTGAGAGTGAAGGGGATGTGGAACTAAACTCTGGGTGACTAACAACAAAATAAGGAAAGGAATCTCGCAAACTGGATGGAGGTGATGGTGACGATAAAGGGTCGATGAGAGGACTAGATTGTTCTACTTCTTCGCAAGTACCCTTTATACAATTGGCACTGGTGGTTGCGAAAGAAGAGAACGAATCTTCAGAACCACACTGAGAGCTTGAAGGCAATGAAGGATCAGTCGGCAAAACGGGGTATTCAATTTCTTTACAAGCCTCCATATTCTCACCCGGTTCATGACTTGATTCGGTAGTGTTGCAGCTCAATTTGGATGACGTGATAAATTCTTTCATAATACCGCAGGCAAACTTCCGTCTCAATCTGCCCCACCCATTTTCTCTAGCAGGAAGACATGTCTCAGATCCTGTTCCTGATAATGAAAAAGGTGGAACAACTCCATCAGCAAGTGCTCTGTGGAAAATTTCAAAATCTAAATCATAATCGAACTTCCTGTCTCCAATGCCTGGCTGAATAGCAGTAGCAACCCTGTCATTTCTGGCCAAAGGCATGTCTGCCCCTCTAGCCTCTGCTTCGTTGCAACCATCTACTATACCAAGAGCCTCCCAAAATTCAGATGGCTCATCACCTTCTTTGATGATCATGACCAGACCCTGAGCTCTTTCATATCGGATGACTTGGTAAGCAGCAGTCCTTGCACTATCTGACATCACTGAGACGCAACTCTTCCCAACCCAGACATATATAGCTGAAGGAACATGAACAACAAATGCACCTCGTGAATCAAGGCCTCGCACACCCGGCTGACTCAACAACTTTGGTACAAGATGAAGGGGATCATACGGAGAGTGAGGTGCCATCCTATACATCCTTAGCACAGAATTTGGGCTTGCAGGCATGGCATGTACTCGTTTTTGGCATTGCAGAAGTTGGCAAGCAAAACCCATATTTGGGTTAGTCACCCCTCTTGCAGTTTTTACATATTGGAATGCATCTTCAAAGCTTTGCCCCTCCTTCCACATAAGGTATGCAATGACCAAAGAGGTTGATCGTGACACGCCTTGGCAACAATGGACAAGTACTCGCCCACCTTGCTCTCGAACATCTTCAAAATAATCAAACACATCATAGAGTATACTTGTGATATCCTCAGACGGGCTGTCCTGCAGCCAAAGTGTCTTGTACACCAGATCATTCTTGAAATACTCTGGACAGACAAACCCAACACAGTTCAGCACATGGGTAATACCATTCTGACGAAGAACTTCACGATTCTTTGCAACTGCATCACTTCCTAAATATACATGATCTACAATTCTCGAGCATTCCTTATCAAAAAATGCAAGCTTGTCTTTCTTGAATTCAAATTCCCTTGGGGTTTGCTCAGAATTTGAGTTCTCACAGTTCTTAATTGGTCCAAGCCTTACACCAGGGGTAGGGGGATTAGTAGGCCATATGCCAAGGTCATCAGACCCTGCCTTTGGCCACTCCTCAACATTCACTCTAGTGATTGAAAGAGGCTGAAGCGGAGGCAAACAACCCCGTGCCTTACTGTTCCATTGGGGTCGAGAAGTAGACTTTCTCGGTGACCGATCAGTCCACGAAACTGACCGTGAATACGTTCTCTGATTATTGCCACCGGATGGCCACTCCTTGCTATCTTCTTCTCCTAACATCTCACAAACTTGTACGGTAATTATACAAATTCAATCAAAACCAGCTCAGGATTGTTCCTGGAAAGGCCATATGTAACATCACAGTTGGGTCTCGAGAAAAAATACCAACTTTCAAAGAAACTTCTGAAAATTCAATGAAATCCGTTTGAGGGTTTTCCAAAAAATTGAGCCTTTAAGATAAAAATATCAACTTTCAAAACTAAGATACCGAGAATTCAATGAAACCAATATGAGGATAGTTCTCGGAAAGGCCATAGGAACCATTAATTTCGGAGACTTCAAGATAAATAGCTAAAATTCAATGTTCATCTGAGCCTTTTTCTCACCAAAAATCCTTGACCCGCTCTCTCTATCTCTCTAACTCTCTAGAAGGAGAAAGAATAAGAGACGAAATCAAACACAAATTAAGACTGGGTAAAACCTTTCAAAACAGAGCTATCGTGNAATCCTTGACCCGCTCTCTCTATCTCTCTAACTCTCTAGAAGGAGAAAGAATAAGACACGAAATCAAACACAAATTAAGACTGGGTAAAACCTCTCAAAACAGAGCTATCGNTCTCTCTATCTCTCTAACTCTCTAGAAGGAGAAAGAATAAGAGACGAAATCAAACACAAATTAAGACTGGGTAAAACCTTTCAAAACAGAGCTATCGTGGGGCATATAGATTCAACATATTCGGCCAAAGAGAGACGAAAAAATGCATAGAAAGTTAGGGGGTTTTGGAAATTTTATACGGGTTATGGTATTTTTGGGGAGAGACTTACAGTAAGGAGTTGATTAGTCGTCGTTGGGTACTTGTAGCAGACATTTGAAACCCTAGAAGAATATGTCGAATTTGGAAAACAGCTCTTTCATGCAGAGAGAGAGAGAGAGAGAGAGAGAGAGAGAGAGGAGTATACAAGGGAACGAATCGCAGGTAATACCAGGGTGGAGTTGGGCGGTTTTTTTGACTGAAACAAAAATGGTCAAAGTGCCGCGTCATCAGTCTGCCCCATTAAAAATTGCATATCTTTTTTCGGTTAGTTTTAAAATTGCATGTCATTAAATACGAAGTGAATAACAAGAAGAGGATAAATTATACTTTATACCCTAAAAGTATGTAATTAATTCTTATTTAGTTTTTGAAGTTTTAATTGCAATAGCCAAGTCATTAGAGTTTTAAATGAGATTCAATCTAATCCTTACATCAAAATTCACTGATTTATGATGACGGAATGATCTTTCATGCCCAAAACATGACTTGAGTAAAAGTGTAATTATACCAATAGAAATTTCAAGAACTAAATAGAAATTATGTCCATACTTTAAGGGCATGTTTAGTAAATGTGTTTGAATAAGATTTAAGGGGTGAATTTTATAAAAATAGTCAAACATACATTCTAAACTTATGTTAAGTTAAATATTTGAGGTTCGAGATTCATACGGTCAATAAATTTCGGCTCATACCCTACCCGTGGTGAATTGTTGATTAAAACTCACAAATGGGGGATTGATGAAACCCATGAGGAGGGTTTCAAAAGTGAAAGATTGAATTTGAAGATAAAAATACTATTTTACCCAAAAATTTATTCTTTTATTCCCATAATAATGAACATTTTAGTAAATTGAGTAATATGATTTAATATAAATCCATGAATTTCACAAATATTTATATCACCAACCAAATATAAGATTGTATAGAATTTTTTTTTGAATCCCATGTACAAATCCTTGAGGCTGAGTTTGGAAAGGTTTCATAAACTCAATTTAAACCCCCAAAAAATAAACGTCCAGACAAGCTAAGGGTATATATGATAAGTATAATGAAGGGGATTTCACTCTATAATTTTCCCTTAAATGGAACTTCTTAACTCAAATCTAGTCCTATTTATTAAATTAATTAGCTAGCCTAATTAATTACTATCTTTTGATTGGTAATGGTAACGAGTCTCAACTAATGCTAAAGTTTAATGTCAATTTAATGACAATGATTTATCAAGTTAACAAATTAAATTCAAGTAACATTGCTCATTTAATAAACTCTTCTTTAGTTTATCTTACTGATAGATCATATGCCATATATTAATAATAATTTATTTATATATAATAGATTTCACTTAAATTTAATTTGATTATTCTAATATTAAGAAAATTAAGTACCAATTTGTACTCCAAGGGATGCAGGATTCTCTCATCTCTAGCCCGTCAATCAATCAATTAGAGTCTTGAAAAGATACATTCTTTTCTACATGGTGTCCACAAACTAGTCTCCAAGACATATACACACAAACAAACACACACACACAAGTGGGAAAATCCCACTTGTCACTATCCTTGAGAGTTCTTGTGACTTGTATATTGTCTAGTTCTATAAACACAAGGTTGTATAGGCTTTAAGTCTCAAGTCAAGGAAAGCAAGCGAGGAAGAAAATAAAACCAAGTAGATAGATTGCCAAATCTTATAGAATAATGCATGAAAGAAGACAAGTTTATGAGCAACTTGGTCGCATCTATTTCATTGTGGAGGCTATGGCTTTTAGGAAATAGACGGGAGAATTTGAAGATTCTAAATTCTACTCTCATAAATATAATTTTAAATTATTTAGTAATGCCCAATTTATTGGTGATTATAGATATTAGACATTTAAGTTGTAACACTAAGCACAATAATATCATTGTGAAGAGAATTATTGGTTCTTAAAAACATATTTCTATTACCGTTGTCCTAACTCTTAGAAGTTTTGGGTGAAGTCAAAAGATCTTTAAAATTATTTTTTTTTATTAACAACTGATGGTGCTCAAAATTGATTAGACCCAATTATAGAACTATCTAGAATATGACTTAAAGAATGCGTGAATGTGTGTGTGATGAAAACTATGTTAGGTGTTGAACGAAAGATGAAGATAACGATGTGAGTAATTTATCTTAATTGAAAGATTAAGGTTACATTCGTTATAATTGAGACTCTAGCTTCTTAAGAATTATTTTACTTGGAAAAGAAGATTATTGTTACAAGAGACTTGGTTGTAAGCCTTTTACAGTCTTGCGTAGGTTGTTAAGATTGGAATCCCTTTTTCTATGATGTCGTTAGCACTTTATACACCTTGTTGTCTAGGTTTCTTGGTGGTTCTTATTTAGGTTGATTTTGTAGTCCCCTATTTTTTTGTTCTGTTGCTGGATTTGTCATCACTAACGCTTTTCTGTAACCACTATGCCTCAAATGGAATACGCGAGTCATCTTCACTACCGATAGATATTCGTTTGTTTGGATTATCAGGTACTATTCCCTTATTCTCTGTCCACGTGCCGCAATACAGTTTTTGGCAAATAGCTTGAGACCGTGCTCCCATTTCCCGAATTGGTTCATATGTTGAGCTTGTCGAATATCAAACTGCCTCATATTCCGAACTGGTCTATTGTAGATTTATTTGGGGCTGAGCCACAACCCAGCTCGAGCCCAATGAACGTTGTGTAAAGGTGGCACTTGGCGTCGTCTTAAATGAGCCCAATGATCTTTGGGTTCTAAAATAGGCTTAGACTTAAATCCATTATCTTCAACAACAATATTCTACTCCCCAAAAGAATGCATTAAATTTTCTAAATTAATGTAGATTATTCCCACTCATTAAATGAAGTGCATGCTTGTAAGTTAGCATTTGCATTATTATAAAACTTGTGTTTCTTTCCACGGTTAAAGAGCAACCTCCACTTGTTTTTTACTCTCTCCGTTCTTAAATATATGTCGTTTAAGGTTTTTGTACATGAATTAAAGAAGTTATTAAATAATTCTAATATGAGTAAAAAATAATTGTACAAGACTAAAATACCCTTATTCAATACGTATTGAGAAGAAAAGAAATATGAAAGACACTTACCCTACACTTAATTTATTAAGCACTTACTGAAAAACAGAAATAAGAGTAAATTTAAAAGAAAAATATTAATTATGTTTTGATTTCATAAAACGACAGATATTATAAAATAAAAAATATTATATAAAACAATAAATATTTAGAAACGAAAAAAGTAATGTTTAGTGAGGACCTGCCGGTAAGGGCAATCGGCAATCCATAGACTTCATATCAATTTCTAACCAATTAATTCCCTTTGTCGGCGGTCTTGACATAGAAACATTGACTACTATAAACAAAAAAAGACTTGATTACGGTATCCGACATCTAAAATTTATTATTTTTATAATTTTTATAGATATTTTTATATTAAAAATATTTATCATTTTATGGATGATTTATCACTTTTATAGGTGATTTACTATTTTTGTTAGTATTTTTTTTTACTCCTATAGTAATTATGTTTACTACTTTTATTTGATATTACAATAATAATAAAAACACTCATAACAATGATAAAAAAATTCATAAAAGTGATAAATGACGATACAGTTCTGAAATTATTTTTTTCCAGTGAAGTAGACTTGTCCAAACAAAAATAATAAAAAGAACAATTTGACTCACTGTTATAGCTTTGAAATACACTGTCATGTCATCAGCAAGCACTAGTGTGGTATTTACTCTTCTTGTACCAAAATAGTGCCTTTTTTTTTTTCATTTATTTTGACATCTATTTTGTAAAGTATCAAGTCCAAGATACCACAAATCTTTCCCTAACTGTTTTTTTGCCCCATTAAATACAACCAAATGTGAATTCTTAAAACCCTTCTCAATAACAGTCTTGTCAATTCATGCAATAGAAAACTTGTATGTGGATGATGTAATTGGCTCTTTTTCTTAGAGAGTGGGACCTTACACCTACCTGTTCTAACAAAATTCCAAATTTAAGACAAAACCAAGGCTTGTTTTGTGGGGTGGGGGGAAGAGAGAGAGAGAGAGAGAGTTGTATGTTTTCAAATTGATGACAATGAGCTAGCAAATTTGTCCATACACCAGGAAGTTGTTGGTAGTATAAGACTGGTTTTTTAAAATTAATAATCAAATATCAATATAATAAAACACAATAACGACACGTATCACTTATATTTTAAATCTGTTTATTTACATT